GTATTCTGGGGATGCATCAGTGGCAACCTTACCAGGGCCACATGGGACACAATTCTGGTGTGAGCAGCCCAATCCCAGACCCTGTGCTATGCCACTCATTTGGCCCACAGGGCCCAAAGATTAAGCACCAGTGATCTAGAACACGGCTGCTTTCATCATCTATTGTCTCATTTATAGTAAGATTAAAGCCAAGATATTCTTTCAACAGTTCTTTCAGGTAATTTACATTACTTTTAAAAAAAGATATGAAAAGCACATTTTTCTCAATGGATACAAACAAAGTGTGTCACCAATGTTTTTCCCAGAACTCTCTGCAGGTTTCATACAAGAATTGTCTGAGATGAAGTAGAGTGCTACAGTGCAGCAAAACTCTGCAAGCTGTTCAATTTCTGTTCTACAATTCATTTTTCTTCACAGAAAACTGTTCAATCACCAGTTTTTGTATTTTACCCATATGACCTACTGCAATTAAAATGCTTGTAGTTTCTATTTATGCAAACTACTCTCAAGATATCAATAGCTTCCTTTTCACTTGAAATACACGGCAACATTACATGCTCTTCAAAACATCAAGCCACAACTTTCAAGAAATATGCCCTTTGGATACTTTTCATTTCTCTGTTTAACATGACTACTTGCTATTTTGCTCATACTTGCTGTAGTTATTTTGTACCTTGTTTTCATCTCTGGAGCAGTTACCCACTTTCCTGCTCAGCTACAAATCTCAAGGGTTGAGTGTACTTTAAGATAAGGCAGACTGTTTCTTAGAGAAGCAGCCTGCAGGTGTGCCAAGGGCTCAGAGAGAGGGCAAGGGCTAGAGGACTCAGAAAAACAGCAGAGGCTCAGAGGTCCTGAATAGCAGGTAGGACCAGGATGCCAATACTGGTGTAGGAGTGGGGTCAGAGCTCAGGAAGGGCCAAAGGCTAAAAAGGGCCACAACCGGAGATTGGCGTGGCTGGAAAGCCCATGAGTGTCAACTGGCCTCAGAGCAGAATCAGGGTCTAAAGAGAAGGATCAAAGGCCAGGAAGGACAAAGCTGGAGACCAAGGGGCCCGGAGTACCCACAGCCCAGAGAGGGCCTTGTATAATGGACAAACAGAGCCAGGAGCCTATAGCTCATAGTAGTGGTTATGATCTGATTAGTACGTGTGACATATGCAAAGCACAGGTGTGGGTATTGGAAAGGATGGAGCACCTAACTAGCTCCTAAAGGCAATGATTAGGGTCACCTGTACTCATGAGGAAAAGATCTGACTTGGGAAGCCCTGGGGCAGCCTCCTGTTTTTGAAAGTATTGTCTCATCAAGGTGTGGCAGGTGAGTGCAAGGAGATGTTGCCCAAAAAAGATCAAAGTGGATACCAAAGAGGGGGGCTCCAGGGGCATCACAGCCAGTCCAGGAGTGGGACCCCATTACAGTGAGCTATATGTGTGTGCCTGTAATAGCTGAAAAACCACCTCATTTAGTGATTGGATTAGTTATCGGTATATTCATCAACCATTTTAAAGATGAAAAAATGCATCAAATTAGATATATTTTACATCTCTTTGCAACATTCTGTGACATTTTATTGAAAGTTGAGGCTTCCTTGTTAAAATCACAACCACACATACCTCCCCAGTAGCTCAGGACTGCAAGTACTGCCATGAGACTGTGTGCATTTGTGCTTTTCCAAGATTAGCCTTCTGAATACTAAGAAGGCTAACCTGGCTACTTGCTGCTCAGGGGTGTTTATGAGGAGATTATTTTTCCTTAGAGACCAAGTTTCCTGCACTGAGTGGTCAGCCATGTGAGTTCCCCACCCCAACAGACGTACTTCTGAGATGATGTGTATTGTGGTTTGGACATGGTGGGAATTAGGATGTTTTTTCCTCCTCTATTTATTAGTATGAAACCCAGTGAATTGAGCAAAATTAGTTCCTCCCATGCTGCCTGGGTGGCCTGGCATCAGAAGTATGCCTGAATGAGCCATTTGTCCCAGTGAGGAATTATGTGAAATCCACTCAACAGATGGCTGCTGCTACAACCAACAATATCTTCAGGAACACTCAGAACAGATGCCAAACAAAATGAAAATTAGCTGAAATGGAAATGTCAACTGTCCAAAAAGACCTCAAGTAATTCTAGAGAGAGGAAGTGGTAGGTATGAGCAAACAGGCATCTTTAGGTCCACTGAAGACAAAAAAAAAATCCCCCTGATCTAACTCCAGCACTTAAGATGAGAGTGTGTTTTGGGGGGTTTTTTTGAATCTCTTAAAAAAAAAGTCTGACACTTACATATCAGTGTAGAGTACACCTCATGAACTCCATTCATTTGCAGCTGGGATCATGGCTCCCAATATGCAGCCCTTTTTACTTGTTTGGGGAAAATGTAAAGGGAGACCACAAATCAAGACAGTGAAGGAAAAAAAGATTTTAGATTACCTTTTCTCAGAAGTCACCTGAAAATATATATTTGTTGCCTGGTTAAGCCAGACAAGTCTGAATCCAGGTTTTCTCCCAAAATTTTCTCACTCTGCAGAAAGGTCGTACTATCAGACAGCTTGAGAAGATTAATTCTTGCCTTAAATCTGGAGAAACTAAGATTATCTAATTTAATCTCCTACATGGTATGGACTGCAGAATTACAGCCAGAAATTCTTAAATCTATTTTACAAACCCATGGCCAAATCCATACTGCCCAATGAGCCACTAGGGAGCAGCAATATCATTCCAACTACTGAACACTAGAGAAAATCTAAAGAAGGAAGTGCAAGCAAATCTTACCTAACTACTTAAAAATAAAAAAGAATCACTAAATAACTAACTAGACTGATGAAAACAGGACTGAAAAAAAAGGTCTAATGATAGACTCCATTTTCCAAGACAGGGAACTTTTTTAATTGAAACTGGACTTCACTAGAATTTCTAGACTTTTTGAGGAAAGCACAGCCAGAGAATACAATATACAGGGCAGAAACTTATCCTTACAATATTCCTGGAGCTCGTACTGACCCTACACGTTTTTTAAAAAATCCTGAGTGGCATCCACAAAGAAAGACAGGATATGCTCATGATCCGGTTTGAAGGTCAGACAAAAAGAGAACTGCGCAAGAAACATGCCTAAGTAAGCATTCCCAATTCTCTTCAGAGACACACCTAGTACATCTGCAACTGTGCTCTCATATTTTGAGTTGACAGACCCCAATCCCAGCTCCATTCTCTGTGACCACTGTGACCTATTGTAGCTATCCTGAATACTGGAGAAAAAGGGCTGTGCAGTCAACTTAGAAATCCTAAAATAATGATTTGCATTCCTGTCCCATCAAGTTGCTAGAGATAGTGGAATTTTAAGAAGCCCCTGAAAGGATTTTAAATAACTGGTGGGGGGAGTAACTAGAGTCACTTAAGATTTAGCAGCCCAGGGAACATTTGTTGAATCAATCAAGTATTTCGGAAAAGGTCAAGGAAAAATGGAGCAAATGGTCTTCAGCAATCCTTACCTAGCAGATGTCTTGAAGGACACCTTTCATCAGGGAAAGCCTACTTCCTCAGGGGCAAAGTTTTCATGAAGGGTAGTTTAGTTTGACACAACCTGAAAAAACTGCCTCATCTATTGTCTCGCCCAGCTGCCATTTCAGAGAGCTCCTGCTCCAGTGATAAGCTTCTCCTCCTTTAAACAAACTGAGCAGCTGGTTTACCTGAAGCCTCTTCAGCCACTTGTATGTTCAACTGAGATAATGAGGTTTTTCTTAATGAAAGCAGAACACCCCTTACCTCCCCCCATATTCATGGTCTTAAAAGAAAAAGTAAAAAACTGCTCTAGGTACAAGAAACACAGTTTAAGTGGTCAAAGATGAAAGGGGAGTTATTTTGTTTTTAGTTTTTTGTAGTTGACTGAGAGTAGTACCAATTACAGCCATGAAAGGTACATCCTTTGAAGTGAACAGGAACAAAAGAAGGCATTAGATGGTGGGTAACTTGCTTCTTTAAAAAAATAGTAACAAAGAGCGAAATATTTACTTGGAGAGCTAGCTCAATGACTCAGGGATAGAGCTCTCATAGGTTGGGGATCTTAGTTCATCCAGCAGTTTCTCCAGTCCAGATTGATGCACCAGAATTGCTGAGAGGTAGAACATAGCCTTTACGGTCATTTCCTTCCAGCTCTTACTTCACCCCATTCTGTATTCTCAGATAACAACACCTACTGACCAATTTGTGAGTAATGTTTCCAATTTCCTCAGGCCTCTCCCTTTTGTGTCTAAGCACTTGTCAATTTTAATGTGTATTACTGGAAATAAAATAAAAGAAGAAGCTTATTGTGACATCAAGTACAAAAGAAAAATAAATACAAAAGAAAAAAGGACAGGAGAACAGACTCTAGTGACTTTACTGTAGCCTTTTTACTTTTTATGAGGATACTCCAGGAATTAAAATAAGAATATTTATAAAAAAAGCACTTCTTCGCACCCCAGAATGGGGGCTTTCTGGTAAAATTAGAATGAATATCTTGTTGAAAATAACCTGATATTTAATTTTTCAAATTCAGTATTTCGTACATTTTTGGAGCCCAAGATAAAAATATAATTAGATGAAAGAAAGCAAAAAAATAAGATGACAGCTTTTTATACAAAGTTGTAGTATCATTCTAAAACCAATTATTATTGGAACACCTGAAAACTGAATGTTCAGTGGCCTTAACCTACTGAGCCTCGGAGTCAAAATTTCTCAAACATGCCACAGAATGCAACTGTACCTGCAGAAAATTTAAGACGCTATGTCACAACTCAGTTGATAAACGTCATTTTCCTCAAGAATCGTCCTTTGAAAAGGAGTGGATAGATTACAGAATAATAGGTACCACTTGTAATGAATGATAACATAACTCAACTAGAGAAAAAAGTACATATTCAACTAGAGGAAAAATGTGCCCCATTTCCATGTTAATCCAGAAATGAAAAAAAAAAACAGTGTGAAAGTAAAAATCTATATGTCTTCTAGAAAATTAGTTTTCAGTTCTTACCATATCCTATAACAAAGGGATTCCAACAAAGCCTTCCTAATAATTGACCAATTAAGGGAAACCTCTGGATTGCTGCAACTGAATTCTGTAAATGAAAACAATAAAAAAATTCTTAATGTACTGAACACTGTACATCAAACATATATCATTAGTGACCTAGATAGCAGTGAATGACATTATCCATGGTTTCTGCTAAGGTACATGTTGGAAACAAAAGCCTTTCAAGAATTTAATAAAAGCAAACCTTTCTGGTGTCAGCTGTTACTTTATACTGTACTTAGGTTAGTTAAAGCTCACATTCATTTCCTTAATTATGTAAGAAAATAAACTTAATTTTCTTTTTGTATAGTAGTCTTTCCTTACTATATTATTATCTGTAAATAACAGATTTCCTGCTGATAAAACACAGAGTATGTGTTTGTTGATTTCTAACACTTTTACACTATGCAGTAGAATCTCTGAAGAAACTAATAGCTATAGCTTAAACTAGCTAATTGATACTATTTGTGCTCACTATATGCTAATAAATATCATAATCGGTGAGTCACAACCTGCAATTTAACAGGCATTTAATTTACCAAAAAACAAACAAATAAAGAACATTTTACTAAACAGAATGCAGCTTCACTATAAAAGTAGTAGGTAGTGGCTTATTTATACTCTTGCGTACAATCAGTCTTATTTTTCCATTTTTGTAGCTTTACTATCTAATAAATGAAGGCTTTTAAAAATGGCACTGTGCTGAGATAATGTGCAAGTAGCAGAAACGATAACCATCTCCCGCTGCTGCAATAAATTCCTCAGATTTGTCTCACATTTGTGGCTGGCCCTAGACTTTCTGGGGCCATGTTCAGAAAGCCCATTTTCAACCAAGCCTCAGAAGTCACTTACCTAAGAAGTAATCTTATAAATTTAAAAACAGTCATGCTGCTGTCTTAAAATCTCTGAAAAAATGCTTTTAAAAATCAAATTTAATTTTAGAAGATTTTTGTTATTATTATTCCTATATTTATCTTTGTGCGAACATTTTAACCTTGCAGTATGAGATGATATTATTGAAGGCTATTAAAAAGTCACAAAAATTTTAAAAACTTCCTAAAACAGGTTTCATCCAAAAAAAGAAAGAAATCAAGAGATTACAGACAATTACTCAAATCAGTAAACCAAACAGTGAGCAACATTTACCAGTGATCTGACCACACTCAAGGAAATCACTATATATGCCACAGCACTGGGGTTAGCATGTCAGCAGACTCTCTAAGATTTAAGGGATCAGTTACAATTTTGCATGTTAAGGCCTCTAAATAATCCAATTTATGACCTGACAACCAGAATCAAATTCTTGTTTATTTTAAAGAGTTTTCAAAAGAGGCTGCTCAATTGGCTAGGAAATCCCATGTGATAACATAACCAATCAAGAAGAAAAAGGTCCTTCACAATAAATCAGGGACACAGGAAACACATTCCTGTTTGCATTACCTGTGGCTGTTTCCCCAATTTGCCTCTGTGATCCAGCAATACATTAGGTCAATACCACAAACGTCTCTGCTACCGTTAGCTTTCTGGTTTTGTCAAAACATGAGGTGCAGATTGTTTCTGAGGCCATCTTCAAAACAGTTCATTCTTCCACTTAAGTTACTTACCATATGTTTCAGGGTTTCATAAATCTGCTGTAGAAACTCCTGTAATTTAGGCAGATGAAGGCAGACATCTTGCTGGGACTGCAAAGTAGTGGTCTGACCCCATTCAACAGCTTTATCTAGCCAGTACTCAAAGTTCAATTTAGGCACAGTGGTATCTTGGGCCATCCTCTGTCCCTGAAAAGGTAACAATTCCAATCAGGCGGATATAGATGTCGACTCTAGACTCTGAAGGGTGAGGGAGAATGTTTCTGCTAACATCTCATCTGCTGGGAGGCAGTGGGGGAGAATTTAAGTTTGTATACATTCCACAAGAAATTCAAGAAGCTTCTAAAATTATAAAGGAGTAAAATAATAATCCCTTTGTGTCAAAGTAGCAGTGGTGGAATAGTAATCAGTAAATTACCCTAAAATGTGTCACTCAGCTGGAGCTCAAATTTTTACTATCTGATTTTGTCATCACCAATATTTCATCAGAAGAGCAGTAAAATAATGTGCGAGTATGCACAAGCTTGCACATGCACACAAGTGCGAGTACACAAATTTATCCAAGCTAACCGCATCATGTTGCATGAACCTTATTACTCCTCATTACATCCACTATTTTTACAAGGAACTGTGCATGTATATTAGTCAAAACAAAGCTCTTCTAGGATTTTAATACAACGGAGAAATCTACACTGTCTCTGCTTTTCAGGTTAGCATGAAGGATGTAATCAAGAGGGGAATGTTTTTATAATTCTACATCTGTTATTGTCTTTTAGCTTTTAATTCAAAAAAGCCCTTTACTTACAGCTGTCTAATGAATTTAATGCCATACAGTCTCACACAAAGCCTACACTTTTTCCCCTAAAACCAACTGAGGAAAATTGGGGTGCACATTACATGTGAGGAAAAGGGTTCCCTGAGGGTCTGAAAATTTGGGGAGTGGGGAAGGATGGAGCAGTGGCAGGCAGTATTAATTGCTGCAGCTCTGGGAGCCACAGCAATTAACGTTGCCACTACTACCTCCCTCTCCCTTCCCCTCTTGGAAAATGTGCAGAGCACCCCCAGATCACCCCCCTACCCCAACATGGCACCAGATTAGGACAGTGTGTAAGGTTGATCTGTGGCTGGAGCACCATGTTCAAACCAGCACATGGCACTGGATCCAGCACATGACTCCAGAGCTAGAGTGGGGGGTCAGACCCAGCACCTAGCTGGAGGCAGCATTACAAATTGAGTCCCAGTTAACCATACAACTGCACTGCATGGCCCCAGGACCAGTCTTCTGGATCAGGTCTTGATAGGCCACACAGTCCCTGAGCCACGCCATGAAGCCCCACAACCAGCATGTTGGGTATCAAGTCCTGGTACACAGCCCCAGAGACCTCAGATTCCTGCTACTTACCCCTACTCCATGGTAAGATTTTTTTGTTCTTGGGGGCTTGCAAAAATAGGGTGTATGTTATATTCAGGGGCATGCCATATGCAATCATACACTTGATATGGTAATCTCCGTCCTTCTCCCCCTTATTTTTTTTGAAGCAAATCATACACTTGATTACATATTGTATTACTGATAGCAATGATTACTTAAAATCTGGACCTTTCAATTCACCTAAGAATGCATTGGATTTTTAGCACAAGGGCAGTATTACCAACCCCAAATAATTAAAAAAATAATTAGTCAGACACAGAGAACATCTAAATATTCTACCCCAACGGACAGAGGATTTGGAAAACCAAAAAAATGAAAAGGTTACAAGAAGTTCTTGTCCATCATGTTCCAGATTTGAAAATAAATATACAAATAAGTATATTCTAATGAAAACCTTGTGGGGAAAAGTCAGCAAAGATAGTGTTCATAGAAAGCAATAGATTTAGAGCCTTTTTAAAAATCAATGTCTCTGTTTATCCATACAATATACACAACAGTGTGAACATTGGTATAACAGCCTTTACAACAGTCATTTTAAACTTGCCCTAAAGGGAGCACCTAATATAATCAGGAAGTCATTCAGTTATACCCCAGGGAATTATGCACAGAAACATTCAAAATTATGCAAAATCAATTACTTTTTTTTTTTTTTTTTTTTTTTACAAATAAATTAAATATAATATTATGTGAACCTTCTTTAGAAATATATGCAGGTACTTTGTATGGTTGGGGGTGGGTGTCAGGGGATTTGTGAGGGTGTGTGGGGGTGGGTATTTGTGGGGTTTGTGGGGATTGTGAAGGGGTGTGGGTGTATGTGTGGGGTTTGTGGGCAGATGTGGGGTTTTTGAGGGGGGTGGTTATGGAAGTATTTGGGGTTTGTCAGGATTCGTGTGTGGTTAGTGGGTGGACGTGGGCCCCACCACACATCCTCATCCCGCCCCATGGTGCACAGCCCCCACTGCCGGCAACTTTATAGCAGCAGGTGCTGGCCCTCAGGGTGCTCATGGCTGCAACAGACAGAGCCCACAGTGGCGCATGGCTCTAGCTGAGTCCTGAGGGCTGCACATGGCAACCTGGAGCCAGCCCAGCCTGGCCTGCGCTTTCAAACCAGACCAGGCTGGCTCTGTGCCAGCATGCAGGGCCTGCAGCACTGCAGGCAGGAGCCACACACCATCAGGCCGGGCCAGCTCTGTGCTTCCATGTGGGGCTTCCAGAACTCCAGTGAAAGCTACACATGGAGGCACTGAATCACATGCCATCAGGCTGGGTGGGCTCCATGCCTCCACATGCAGCTTCCCACTCACCCGCCCAGCCCAGCTCAATGGTGCACTGGGAGCCACACGCCGTTGGGCAAGGCCAGGCAGGCTCTGCACCTCCACATGTGGCTTCCAGCACTCCAGTGGGAAGCCACACACGGGCACGGAGTCACGTGCCATTGGGCTGGGCTGGTTCCGTGCATCTACATGCGGCTGGCGTGGTGAAAGTCCCAGGGCTGGCTGGCCCAGCCCAACAGCATGTGGCCCACACCCACCCACAAATCCCACGCATACTGACACACACCCCCATGCCCACCCACAAACCCCATGCCCACCCCCTTCCCTGCAGGTAGGCACTCCCCTCCCAACTTATCAGCTATCCAGTCATGAGCCACTGCTTCTGGTGCCTCCACATTGGGCTCCCAGTGAATAACTAATTTGGGACAATACTTACCTAAGCCAGATTAAAACTTGCAATAACAATAAAACACTAATAGATAGGCAAATAACAGTAAAACCAATCCACAGTATTAATCCACCAACCTTCTTCACTGGTAAGTATTTGAAAATAAATAAGACATCCTCAGTAACCATTGCTTTGTTAGAGCGTTAAAACAATGGTTACCGAGGATATCTTATTTTTAGATTTGGTAAAAGTTAAAGGGCTTATCAATCTGATTTCCATAAGAAAGATTCATCCTGTTGAAGAAAGACTAAGAAAAGGCACTCTACACATCTTAAAATGAGGGCTGCCAACAGAGCAGTTGCTC